AAGCAACACTCAAAAATAAACGGTTAATCACTCAAAAATACAAAAAACACACAAAAACACTCAAAATGCCACCAGCACCAAAACGCCAGCGGGAACAAACGTCTACGGACCTGAAAGTCGCTCGTTCGTCGGAAGCCCCTTCCCCCTCTTTGGTCCAGCTCATCGAACAGAAGATGAGTGAGCAGCTCCAGCAAATCACAGACAGCATTAGGCAATCTGAGGATCGCATTCTGCTTGACCTTCAGGATAGGCTGAAGGTGATGACCGGAGAAATCAAAAATCTCACTCAGCGGGTACAACATCTGGAGTCGGAGGTTGGTGTGGTCCAACAATTGAAAGTTCGGGTTCTGGAGCTGGAGACCGAAGTTGGAGAAATGCACGCACTGCGGGGACAGGTGGGCGAGATGGAGGTAAAACTGGCCGAGCAAGCAAATCAAAGCATTGCTTGTGACCTGCGGGTACACGGTGTTCCTCTTAGCCAGGAGGAGAATCTGAAAACTCAATTTCACTCACTGTGTTTTGCTTTAAAGCTCACACCGCCACCGAGAATTAAAGAAATTTTCCGCATCACACGGCACAACAAAAACGCTGCCACTGATCCAACTATAATTGTTAAACTGGAGCACGTGCGAGATAAGGCCGCTCTGTTGCGAGCAGTTGGCAATTATCGGCGGGAGCTTAAACAACCGCTAACCCTGCAGCTTTTGGGTATAAACTCTCAAGCTGCCTTCTACATTAACGAGCAGCTCTCAAGAGAGACGTATGAAATCTTTAAAGAGGCAATGCGCTTAAAAAAGCTCAAGTGTCTCTCTTCGGTTTTCACACGTCGTGCAGTAGTGCATGTAACTCAATCTGCGGGAGCGGAGGTAATGATGATATTTAATTTGAAAGAGCTCCATGCATTACGCGTCCAACCTCCCTTAATTAATGCTAATACTAGGCACAGTGAAGAGAATAGAGAAGAGCAGGCAAATACTCATAAAAATGATGATATCTTTCGCTAAACCGATGCTCTCCTCTGCTCTCTTACCTGTCAAGTTCAGTGTTAGTTCTGTAAGTACTATATGTTTCGCATTAAATGTTTTGTTTATATATTTATACCTAATTTGTAAATTGCGTGTGCTACTGATAGGGAAAATATGCACACTAATATAAGAAGATCCACAGAGAATAGCAACACAATTATCAAGGTTCTTGCTAAGCAGAAAATCGGCTTACAAATATGCCATATAAATGCACAAAGTCTTTGCCAAAAAATTGAAGAGTTCAGGTATTTGTTTGTGAAGTCCAACGTAGATGTAATATGTGTCTCTGAAACGTGGTTTGTCTCTCAACTAGACGATGTCTTGATCACTTGTGACGGCTATGATTTATATCGATCTGATCGAGAAGGTCATGCAGGTGGGGTTGCAATATACACAAACAACAAACTAAAAACCAAAGTAGTAAGTAAACAACCCAGTGGAAGCGCAATAGAGTACTTGTTTCTTGAAGTCACTGGTAGAGGGAGTTCACCAAATATTCTTATTGGCTGTCTTTATAGACCTAATCGTTCTACTGACTATTCAGACGCAATTGACACAATTACGACTCTATCTTTAAGTTACGAAGACACAGTCATAACTGGAGACCTTAACAGCAATATGCTAACTGAACGACACCTTGCCGATGCAATGTCGTCTTTGGGTTTAAACCTTGTTAATTCGTCCATGCCAACACACTTTTCTAATACTATTAATACGCTACTAGATGTTTTTTTCGTTAGTGATATTAATAAAATTCTATTATATGACCAAATTGACGTACCAGTATTTTCTAAGCATGATTTAATTTACCTGACGTATGAATCTAACCCACATCTGACTGACCAAATCATTTATTTAAGGGACTTTAAGAACATTAATATTAGGCTACTTTGTACTGAAATTGACTTATATAATTGGAATGCAATATACTCACTAACGGACGTAAACTCTCAACTAAGACAATTGTCCGCGTACATTGACGCACTGTATGATAGGCATGTACCTTTAAAAAGGAAAACTCTTAAAGCTAGCCAAAAACCTTGGTTCAATCGAGGTATTGCTTGTAAAATAAGGGAACGTAATATTGCATATTCTAAGTGGAAGAGATACAAGACTCCTGAGCATTACCAGCAGTTTAAAATTTTAAGACGGACAGTAAATAAAATGATCGCAACTGAAAAAAGTCACCATTACGCTGAAAAATTCAACAACGCCATATCAACTAAGCAAAGATGGGGTGAGCTTAAAAAACTTGGCATAGGAAACCTGAAAGCTTCCCCTAAAATTACTGCTGATGCCAACGAACTGAACAGAAAATTTGTGCAATCGACCGTACCTGAAAACATGACTAACCCTTACATTGACGCCGTAACAAATACTGACTGTGATAATAGCTTTAGTTTTATGTGCGTAACTCCCTGTGATGTCCTGAGTTCCGCCCTTAAAATTAAGTCAAAGGCTGTTGGTATGGATAATCAGCATCCCAAATTTATTAAAATGATTTTGCCTAGGGTAATCAATCATGTAACTCATATATGCAACACAGCGCTTACAACATCAAGTTTCCCAGATCAGTGGAAATTAGCCAAAGTAATTCCAATACCAAAGGCAAAAAATGACTACAGGCCAATATCTATCCTGCCCTACCTATCAAAGGTACTCGAAAATCTCATGGCACAACAAATCAATAATTACCTAGTACAACATTCGTTATTGTGCAATAAACAATCCGGCTTCCGTAAATTCCGAAGCTGTACTACTGCCATTTTAGATGTCACAGAAAACATTAGAGAGGAACTTGACGATAGTAAGGTTACATTTCTGACACTCTTGGACTTTAGTAAAGCTTTTGACACGGTAGACCACAATATCCTATGTACTAAGTTAAACAAATTCTTTAATTTTACTAACACTGCAGTAAAACTAATATCGTCCTATCTGCATGGAAGAAGCCAAGCTGTGAAAACTGACAGTGAAATATCAACATTTCTACCTGTGAGACGCGGAGTACCCCAAGGTTCAATCCTTGGTCCACTCCTCTTCACCCTATATGTTAATGATCTCCCTGGTTCGTTATCCAAGTGTAAAGTTCATATGTATGCCGATGATGTCCAAATGTATGTTAGTTGTCCGTTAAGCAGAATAAATGAGTGTGTATTGTTGTGTAATGTTGAACTGTCGAACGTTAGTAAATGGGCCAACTGTAATGGATTGTCGCTAAACCCTGTCAAATCTAAATGTATTATTATATATAAAAGGTTGCTGAGCACGGAAAATCTGCCTAAATTATCAATAAATAACACGCTAATTGAATATGTGGATCAGGCTGTTAATCTTGGAATCACCATAAACAAGACATTGTCCTGGAGTGACCAAGTAACCAAGGCAGCCGGTAAAACGTATGGTATAATAAGACAACTTTCCTTGACTCAGCAATTTTTGCCAAAACAACTCAGACTCTTAATAGCCAAAACATATCTTATACCCACGCTGTGTTATGGTATTGAAATTTTTGGAAATTGTGATAGGGCATCTCAGCACAGACTAAAAGTGGCATACAATAATGTAGCTAGATATGTCTTCAATGTTAAGAGGGGTGAACACATATCCAGTTTGGCTGACAGCATCAATCAGATGAAGTTTGAAACTTGGAAAGACTACAGAACTTTAATAATGTTGCATAAAATCGTTTATACAGGAGAACCGAGCTATTTATATGAAAAGCTGCGTTTTGGTGTGTCTGCAAGAACCAACAATATTATTAATATTCGTTACAAGCTTGGCTGTTCCGAGCGGCAATTTTTTATACATGCTATTCGTCTGTGGAATCAGCTACCACAAAACCTAAAGAAAATTAGTAGTGCATCGCAATATAGGGAAAAATTAAATTTATACTTAAAAAACTATTAATAGTAATATAAGTAAAAATAATAAAAACAGTAATAGTAAAATAAATATAATAAAACTATAAATTAAATAAATAAAAAATCAAAAAATGAACATAAAAATATAAATAGGCTAAGTAGGTTAATCATATCGACTAACAACCAAACAAAGAATTAATTTCCTTTAACGTTTCATGTTTTGTGACTAGTGCATTAATTTATAAGAAACTTTCTTGTCGCACTAGGAAATAAGTAAATAAATAAATAAATAAATAAATAAAATAAGGTATGTGGGTAAATGGTATGTAGATTAGGTTATGTATGTAGGTATATGTGCTTATGTATATAAGGTTAGGTAATGGTAATTCAAGTTAATGGAGCGATATATAGTTGTGTAGATGAATAGATATTCAAAAGTTAAATTTAACATTTAACATTACAAAATCATAATTGGAAAAGTATTCAACTTTAACGGCAAGGAAAAAAATATCAAAGTGCGTTTGCACATGGACGAGCCATTAAACCGTAAGGCGGCCAATGTCGCAATCAAAATCAAACGTTACGTTACCGGTCAGTTTACCACGTTAGTCATTATATCTCCCTGAATCATTATATTTGTACAAACTTACAGTACGTTTTCCTCCCACGCAGAAAGATCTTTCGTTGTGTAGATGGCTGGATGATTGGATTAGCAGATGATTAGGTGAATGAATGGATGATCAAATGATAAGATGAGGGCTGGGTAACGACACGCATGACTGTAAAGTTTAGTTGTATTAATAACCATTTAATTGATAAATATTCAACTTAAGCCCGGTATAGGAAATCCTTTTTGACTAGGTCCACATGTTAGATTTCATGGGCGTACATGTTAGCCGCAGCACAATTAAATTGAACCACCAATCGGACCAATCAAAAAGCACTTCATTATCCGGTATATAATAAGAAAGAGAAGAAAAAACACATAAAAATAAATCCACTGGGTAGGCGGCTTCAGATTAGGTTTGCCAGAGCGAACCTACAATCGACGGCGGCTTAGGCACGGGGTCAATGATCTTGAGGCATCGACGAAAAATGCTTCCCACGCAGCGAAAGCCAGGTGCAGCTTGCTTGTAGTGACGCAACTGTCGAAGCTGGTTGCGACGGTAATGGTATACCGGCTCACAGCGTGAGGAAGTCCATCCTTGGGATCACGTTGCTCACACCCGTAGGTCGGACGGGGAGGTTATATAACCTCAACTGACCCGAGCACGCTGCCGGTCGAAAAATTTTCCGGAGCGAGTCCACGTATCCCAGCGAGTTATACCAGGTTGTACCAAGGGTTATATCAGGTTGTACCAAGAGTTATATCAGGTTATACCAAGAGTTATATCATACATAACTAGGTATCACTACGTCTGTACTAGTGGTGCGATTCCTATATATAGAAGATTACATTTTAGAACTATATATTGGAACTTCGCGGACAAGATATTTACCCCAATGGGAACTGCACCACTTCAATTGATACAATTTCGAACTGTGGATTTTCTTTCTCCCGGTGGGCTGTCGAAAAGCAGGGACGGTAGGTGCTGCCGTGGTCTTGGGGTTATGTACACCTCGGTCTGTGGCACAAAAATTCCGAGAAAAGGCAATAAAGTAAGATCACTGCACGTCGTCGTTTTCTTAATTCACCATACTCACGGATATGGGCAGATTGTGGAGGTTGATGGAAACCAACTTATAATTGCGAACACAAAATCACTGCGCGTGGTAGCTGACTGTATATATGGTTAAAAATCAGATAGAATACAGAGCTCCAGAATACTGCACTCTGCGACGGTCACGAGGAGAAGGAGACCGACTCCTAGAACCACCGGATGCAGCAGCCCACGTTTTCCCATCAATACCGTATTTTTTCCTTGCTTTTTACTTTAAAGAAAAGTAATTAGCAATAAATATAATTGCAATACGGAATCAAAACAACGGGATGGCGTTGCCACTTTTTACCAAAACATATGTTTCGTCAAAAAGCTCTCTGCAAGCTCTACGATCGATGCCCCATATTTTCAACGGTCTATCTTAGGGCGGTTATGAGAAATAAACCGTTGACTTTTTAAAAGTGCTGAATGAGACACCGCAAGACAAGCGTCACATATTACAAGTTTTTACTTTACGTAAAGTAAATGTTTTTGAGCTATTGCCCTTTCCTTTTATACGCATACTAACAATTCGCGAATCTTCCTGCTCGTAAGTCTCATTATTGGTCCATACGTTAGTCTGATTCAAGTTTATATTACAATTTCTTTGGGTATCAATTTGGGGATCTTGAATCTCTGGTAAAATTAGATTTTGACCTGCCAAGTTTGGTGGCTTATCTTTATGTAATAATGTATTATAATGGCTGTATGTACACTTATTAATACTACAAATCTTTTTGCACTTACAATTTTTCATTGCATGATTCTTACATAAACATGCAATACACAAATGATTTTTTGAGACGTGCTCCCAGCGTTTGTCAACGTCTAGGCTTTTAAATTTGTCACATGATGACACATTCAGCTTACAAAAATTACAATATTTATTTGTTTATGTGGCCATTTATCATCCGATATAGTAAGTGTCGTTTCTTTTGGCTTGTTCAGTCCATACCCTAATAATTGAGCAGCTTTACTTTTTTTGCCAATCCATCCACTAGAAGTTGCGGTTCGTCTTTATCCGTTTCTTGATAATGCTGCATAAATGACATGCGTTGTGATACTGGAAGTTTTTCCAATATGTCATTAAACAAAATAGGATTTCGAATATGGTCAATTTGCTCAAGGGACAACAAAGTATGAATTAAATTTGTAAGTTGGTCATTTAAATTTATAAATCTTTCACACTTGTCATCTTTTAAAACAGGAATATTTCTTACTTTATTTATTTATTTTATTTTATTTATTTGCATCGCCAAATCGTTCTTTCAAAACCTCAATGACATCATCAACATTTTGTGGCAATAATAGAAGCGACTGCAACATTGAATCGGGACGGCTCGTCCCGAATCCAAGAGAGCGCAACAGCCGAATCACACCAACGAAGACACTCATTCCTGCTACCTCAGATATGAGGTCCTCCCGTCCTAGCTGGCAATTCCGCTCCACAAAGCTCCAGCTTTGGTATGATTAGTGTTTTCAATGGAGCAGCACGAGATTTTGCACAAAGTAAGTGACTGCTGGATCGCTGACCCTTCGACACAACATAAATGCAGGCACCATAAGCCTCTATGCTGGCGTCGCAAAATCCGTGAATTTCTAGCTCAGAGTTCGGAATGAGCACAAGCCGAGGAGATTCATAACGCCGAATCTGGCCAAAACTACTGCATATTTCATGCCACGAGGTGTTGAGTGCGGATGGCAAGCTTTCATCCCAGCACAACTTCTCTTTACACAACTGCTGGAGAAAGATTTTTGATTTTGTAATGATATCCATCCATCCATCCAGCTTGTCCGAGGGGATCGTAGAACCGAGCTATTGTTGACAAAATGAAACGCCTGCAGGGACGCGAAGTAGGGGCAGTAGGGGCAAAAACGAGAATAAAAGCTGATCAGAAACCGGATCCCAGGCAAGTCCTAAAGTTTTGGTGAAATTGCTGCCATCGTCGAACTTCAAAAAGGTTTCCTTGTCCTTTTCCGGAACTCCATCGAGCACAGCAGGCACGTTCAAACACCATTTCCTCAATCGGAACTGACTTCTCGACAAAATTCCAGTAGTTTGCTCACGAGTGTGGATAGCCTCATCCTGAGAGCTGGCTCCAGGTATCAAGTCATCGACGTAAAAGTCCCGGCAAAGAATATCAGCCCCAACAGGAAACGCTATCTGCTCATCCATTGCCAGCTGGTGCATCGCCCGCACTGACAAATATGAGGCAGGCTTCGTCCCATAAGTAACGGTGTCCAGCTTAAACACACGCAAATCCTCTTGCATGGAATTCCTCCACAGAATACACTGCAAGTTACTATCCTCGGGTGAGACCCTTACACACCGGTACATCTTGCAAATATCTCCCGTTATCGCAACTGCATATGACCGAAATCGATTGAGAATATGGAAAAGCTTGGGTTGGATTACAGGACCGGCCATTAAAACGTCGTTCAGGGAATAACCGGATGAAGTTGCTGCGGATCCATCGAAAACGACCCTCAGCTTGGTCGTCGAGCTATCTTCTTTTGTGACGTAATGATAGGCAAAAAGTAGCGGCAGCAGCTGATTGACTCGGCAGGAACCAAAGACATATGACCTAGATCAAGGTACTCGTTTATGAAAGCAGCATACTGAGATTTCACATCAGGGCGACGATCTAACCTCCGCTCAAAAGATAATAATCTACGTTGAGATTATTGATAAGATTCTCCCAAGAGATCCAAGTTATATTTAGCTGGCAGCCGAACACAATAATCGCCAGTTTGTAATCGATGGAAATGTTGAACAAAATGAGCCTCACAATCTAGCTCTTCTTTCGTAGACTTTACAATGGGTTCCATGCAATTCTCTACCTCCCAAAACCGTCGAAGCAGTACCTAGAAGGCCTTGCTCTTGAGGGGAAAAGCTGCAAATCTCGGCTGATTTGCAAAACTATATCAGTGTTGTATTATTATATATATATCAGTGTTGTATTATTATATATATATCAGTGTTGGTTGCCAGTATTTTTTATTGCTCTTTTTTATTGCGCGCGATTCAAATAAGTTAACTGCAATTAGAGCTAGACAAACTAAAAGAGCTAATCATGCAAAGATAGCCAAGAACTAGTACTAATTAGAGGAAAGGTATGTTAGTATTAGTAATTTAAGAAGAGGAAGGGAATTAGTAGTGGATATTATATGGTAGAGTAGAGCGAATTATAATCCGAGTTTAAGACCTTAAAGTAGAAGGAACAAAGTAAAGTTTATTTTATTTAATTTTTATTTTTTTTTTAATATTCAATGATTCATTCATTTTGACCCTCTTCAGATGCTCTTTTGTCAAACTGTGATAAGCGAAACTTAAATCCAATTTGCAAATATCGGCAGCAGATGAATGAATCTTTGTCATGTGAAACTACAGGCGTTCCAAAGAGTTGAAGTGCATGTTGCATACTTCGCATGTTTTTACCTGCCCATGCCCATGAATAGCGATTTCATGCCTCTTTAGTGACTCTGCTGTTTTCACCTTCTAGGTTACTATTGTCAGCAGCTGTGGCCGGAGCGCGCGACACAATCAAAGAAGACCCCTTTACCGTGGAAAAACCTCCAGACCAGTGGCGTAGCTACGTACGTGCAAGACGGTGCGCCGCACCGGGGCCCTTGAGCTAAGGGGCCCCCAAGCTAGGGGCCCAAACTCTGACAAGAAAATCACCAAAAAATCTCTCACTCCATATATGCATATGTATGTAATTTTTCTCATTTGCGAAGAAGGATTCATAAGCATACATGCAAAAACCGAACTAAATGCCGAACATTTCATCTATGGTTTAATTTTCGTCGTTTCCTTTGTCATCTTGCTTCCCGCTTGACGTTCGGCTCGTTTCTTCCCTTTCAGACTCAAAGAATTGTTTTTTTAATTTTCGTCGTTTGCCTTTACGTTGATTTTCCCGCTTGATGTTAAGCAAAGCAAACAAGAAAACTTTTGTATACCCCTTCACAGGCTATATTTGAATTGGGCAGAGATTTGACCGCAAAGAATGAAATTAATTTTATAAATATTGTGTATTTTCGACAAAGTTGACCACTATATGATATAGATCCCCCCCTAAGGGGCCCCCCCCCGTCCTCCCCCTAGTCCCCCCCCCCCCCCCCCCCGGCCCCCACCCCCCCATTCTAAAATATATACTGATAGTACGGGTATATAGTCTAGAAGACTATTTTTAATATATTTTAGTTGTCTTACTTCAAGGGAAAAGGGTATATAAAATTCGTCAAGCTAGAATTTAAGAACAATCGAGAAAACGCAAAACGGCGACTGTCTGTATGCGATGTGAAGTAACGTTGCTTCCTTTTATTTGACAAAGCCAAATTTATATTTCTTCGTCTGTGTAATTTCGTAAATAATTATTAAAATATGGATCAAAAAAAGAAACCAAGTGGTGCGCTTAAGCGCAAACAACGCCAGGAAAGAGAAAACAATATGCCAAAACTATCCAAAATTTAAAAATTTTTTAGTCAGCCTTCTAGTAATTCAAGTACGAATTAATTTTGAATGAAAAATTGATGTGAGTGAATTAAATTCTGTCACCACTGCAGTGCTGTTTGAGGAGCCCGTTGCAGAACATTTTCTGATGAATTCAGTTAAAGATACCACCGCCGATGTTGCCGAACATATCGACGAAGAATTTTTTAGCACAGCACGAGTAACAGCAAAGGAACCTTCGACCGCATCAATGTTCGAGAATGTTAACGACCCATCTTTCAATGACTTGGGAAACTTTATAAAAAAGGTGTTAACTAACAATGAAAAACGTCAAATTCTGGATTTGGGGCCTTTACAGCCTCCAGGGCCTTTTCCAAAAGACGGCCACGAGAAGAGCAGATGTTTCTCAAAATCCTACTACTTTTCTACTTCTAAATATGGACCAGTTCATCGTTTTTGGCTGTGTTATTCTAAAGTACTGGATGCTGCGTACTGTCAACCCTGCTGGTTGTTTGCTTCTCAAAGGAGTAATGGATGGTGTACTGGCATTCGGGATTGGAGACATTTATCAGAAAAAATTAAACAGCACAGTTTCTCTAGTGGCCATACGGAAGCATGTGCTGTGTATGAAATCTGGAAGAAAAGTGATACTGTCGACAAGGAACTTGAAAATGAAATTCTGAAAGAAGCGTCATTTTGGAAAATGGTTCTTAAAAGGTTATTCGATGTCATACTAACCCTAGCAAAGAACTCGTTGGCTTTAAGAGGACAT